AGGGAATGAATGGAGCTATAGCCCATAAGGCAGTGACCATGGGCACCTGGTGGTCATCCGAGAGAGCAATTTGGGAAGCCCTGGGGCAGCCTCCCTCAAAAGTAATAAGACATCAAAGCGTGGTGGGCAACTGAAGAGGTGATTGCCCATAAAGTGAAGGCTGCAGGGACTCCAGGGGCTTTATGGCCACCCCTGGAGAAGCACCCTGCCACACTTCCCACTTCAAAACTAGACCTATGATATCCTTTCCTTAATGCTGGCCTGACAAAGATGGAACAGGCAGGGCCAACCAAATCCAGGCTCTGTGGTACCACAACCTGTGTGTGTACAACGCATAAATATGGTCTCTGCTGCTGCTAGCCAATAGCACAGGAACAGGACTGCAGCCACCACACAGCACTTGCCTGGCCAGTTGAATAACCTTGATGCTTCCTTAACTCTGTCTTCACGTATATGGTAATGGAGTATTGCGTGTGTGGGATGCAGGAGATGCTGGACAGTGTCCCAGAAAAAAGGTTTCCAGTCTTTCAGGCTCACGGGTAAGTGCAACTTCTGTTCTTAAACCATGTTGAGAGTATCAGCCTTCTCCACCCATGCTACATCTCTTGAATTCATGTGTTCGTTCTTCCACACTGACACTAAGGCAGCTGACTGCTCTTTAAAGCAAAACTTGTTATGAATAAAGAGGGCATACATCCATGGAGAAAATTAAAAGCTGGTGAGGGATTCTGGGAAGCAAAGCTTATTATTCCTATTGAATTATTTTCTATCGCTTTGGCTTTGATGTCTGAGGCATAGAAAGCCTTGTTAACCCCTTTCCCACAGCTCAGCCACGTATGTGCCTTGGCAGCAACAAAAAGGAGGTTGAGAGAGTCTCAAGTGCCCAACTGCATCTCTTGGAATTTCTTGTCACACCTCTGTGGTCTGGGAGAGCGTGACCCATGTGGAATGCTTCCTGGTATCATCTTCCGAAATGAGATTCTGGTTGAGAGAAGGACATCATCTCGTTGCTGAGCAAGTGGCACAGAACTAAGCGTGGATTTTGCCAGTGGTTTAGAACAGGATCCAGGTTTGGGAGCAGCTAACATGTCCCACTGTCTGCGTGGTGCCTGGAAAAGGGGGTGGAGGGATTAAGAGTGTGACAGTAACCAGAGAGCAGCTGTTTGACTTCCACAGCTGGAGTGGGGCATTTGGAAAGCATGTCCAGTACTCTTCTCTCAGGCTGGGTGTGGAAATGGAAGGGAGCAAAGAGGAAAGGAACCTTCAAGCCATCCAGCTGAGATAGGGAGCAGGGGGCATTTTATGAATGTACCTGTCCCCTTCTGAATTGAGAGTACTGTAGCGTTAATCACCAGAGGAGAGGTTACAAGTGCTGAAGGGTCAGAAATATCTAGCCTTACCTGCTGCCCACTGGAAAGGCACCTTGGGGAAAAGACCTCCATGCCACCTTGAGACTCGTACTGCAGGAACCTCAATACTTAAACCTTCATTAGGAGGGTTTTGCAAAAATAGTGTGCCAGCAAAGAGCTCCTCCCATGGACACACATAGCCCTTTGTCCTGGTACAGCAAAATTGTACCTCAACCACTCCCCAGCAAAAGGAGCCATACTACTATCCAGCATGACTCTGCCTACCTCTAGGCACTGGGAATCCTGGCTCTTCATCCCTCTGAGCAATGGAGACTTCATTCTATCATTTTTTAAGTATTGGAAGCAAACATCACTGGATGTCAGATAAGGGGCAACTGCTTGGGTGACCTGCCAATGATAACCCAGTGCATCATAGTGCAGTGAGCACAGCTGTATTGGGTTGTAACAAGGCCCACTGGTATAAGGCCTGCAGTGCTCTATTTGTGAAGAGTGTGGGAGAGAGGTAGGAAGCTAGCACATCTTGCACTATGTGAAACTCTGTATATTTAAATCCCTGCGGCATTACTTCAAAGCAAATAATTCCTTGGTGCCAGCACTGTGCTATCAATCCAAGCCAGCCGAGTGCTCGAACTTACTAAATATACAGAGTGGGAACCTATCTTTGATGTGGAGTAGCTTAATGTCCCAAGTGGTTTGTGCCCTGATGCAAAACATGAGCAAGCAACTGCTTCTGACTGCCTTGGGTGCTGTTGTGTTAAAACATACACCAGACTTAAATCTCTATTGCCCCAGCAGTGAAAGCTGCTGTAATCCCAGCCCATATGCTCCTGGAACACTGCTCTCCTCCCTCTCTGTACTTATCTGCAGTAGCTCATATGACACCCCAGTCCCTTGAAACACCAAATTTTTCTGTCTCGACTCTCTTGCAGGTACTTTTGCCAGCTCATAGATGGCTTAGAATACTTGCACAGCCAAGGGATTGTCCACAAGGATATAAAACCAGGAAACCTCCTTCTAACAACCAATGGGACACTAAAAATATCTGATTTAGGAGTAGCAGAGGTATGTAGAAATTACGTGTGGAACCCATCTTCTCTAATGTACCAGTGGTAGACATATGCTAAGGACCTGGGGAGACGAGTGTGAAGCATTAACTATGTTGGAAGAATATTAATTGCCAAGTCAAGCATTCGGACATAAGGACATGCCAGAATTAAGGTTGCCTCTACAAACTTAATGTATATGTGTAAATGGGTGAGTTCCAATAGTTTTAAGACTGTCTAATTACACTTTCATATAGCACAGCATGCACAAACAAGTTTTTCAGCAGCTTATAACGAGGCTGAACTCGAGTAGATTTTGACAGGGCAGCAGAAGATGCATCTTTACCATCACTGACAAATCCAAGACCAGGCTCCTAAGCACAGTGTTCTAAAACTTTTCAATTCAATAATTGGAAGTGTTGTGTGAACATGAGCAAGCCAGCATAGCTTATCCTTGGGAACTAGTGAACTGTTTACCCAAAGCTTTCCCAGAAAAATCAGACCGGAATATGTTGGCATGGAAAATTTCAGCCTGGGCAGCTTGCCCAAGTTTTAATTAATGGAAAAGCCTTAAAATAGGCAGCATCAGGCCACCTTAACCGCAGGTAATACCACCAACTCTTGCTGTGATACACAACCATTAGTATCAATTGTATAGCCATGTACCTAGATCTACAGTGACGGATCCCCTTGGAGAGTACACGGGGATAAAGCTTTTATCTTTGATCATCTCTAGAGAGTCCGAGTAATACAAGAATAACAAAAAATTCCTTGTCTCCTGCTGCAGGCACTGCATCCGTTCGCGGAGGATGATACGTGCAGAACGAGCCAAGGGTCGCCAGCATTCCAGCCGCCAGAAATTGCCAATGGCCTGGATACCTTTTCAGGCTTTAAAGTGGACATCTGGTCAGCGGGGGTCACGCTGTAAGTACCCGTGCGGTAGTCAAGCAGGGGTGGGGGAGAGGGGTTGCGTTACTCTCCTTCAGATTCATACTGACTGGTGCCATCATGATTGGTGGGTATTAATGTACCTCATGATCCCTCCTATCATCCACCTGTGGTAATCTCCAGCTTCTGTGAGATGGTTGTGCACTGCCCAAAGGCAGGGTAGATGTGCACCTTTTACAGACTACCTAAAAAAGAGATCTATATATAGTGCACTGCTCCCCAGGCTGATCAGATTTAGTCGGTGCTGTTTCTAGGTGTTGCACGAGAGGGTACTGAGTTCATATTTGGGTCCATTCCACTATTAGAAACTGAACGGTACAGCGAAGTTTGAAGTTCTAGAAAAATTAGAACTCAGGTTCTCCACACCAGCCACTTCTCAGCATCTCTTGGCCCAAATGGAATCAGATGAGCCTTTGCTGCTGCTTGTCCTGGGCACTCTTCTGGCTTGTCAGCCTGCATGTTAAGAGCTAGACTTCAAGTGCTGTATATTGTCTTACACTGTGTTCCATCTGTATTCACAGATACAACATTACAACGGGTCTATACCCCTTTGAGGGGGATAATATCTATAAGTTATTTGAAAACATCGGGAAAGGGGACTACACAATTCCAGAGGATTGTGGTCCTCCGCTCTCAGACCTACTTAGAGGTGAGTCCCTCTTTCAGGTAACCTGAATACACATGGGCAAAGCCTGTGGATGCAACAGATATGCAATGCATGCCTACTAAGGGAGAATCCCACTTGAAGTCCTTCATGGGTGGTGATGCCTCTGTGCTGTATAGCAGTAGTTTTCAGCTGGGGTGCTGCGAGAGCCTGTCAGGGTGCTGTGATGCTGGCACTGCTGCTACTTCCATCTACCCCATGTCCTTCCGTTTTTCAGGAGGCATCATGCAGGCAGGTGCACCACTTCATCTGTACCTTTTCAGTTGGTTTCCAACAAGCCTCTGAAAAGAGGCACCCAGGGCAGTTCTACCTGAGGGCACCCTCATCCATCTCCAAGCTGTGCACAATTCTTCCTGGCCACAGAAGCACCTTAGCCTGCCCCCACCCAGGCGTCCTCCAGCCCCTCCCACCCCTTCATTGCTTCCCACATGATGTGTGTGCAGCCCAGCACCTTGTCCCTGGAGCTGGTCATACCTGAGTGCTGTCCTTTACAATTCCAGGGCTCAGTGTTAATAACATATTTTAAAATAGAAAAGTAATAATGGTTATTATATTCATAATATAATGATATTAGGTTTTTTTTCAAATGGGGTGCCACTACATTCTAAAGTTTTGGAGGAGTGCCTCGAGTCTAAAAAGACTGAGAACCACTGCTATATAGCAACCTGGTGAAGAGGGCCATAATCTTCCTTGACAGTCCAATCTATTCCTATATCTCCAATTTCATAGACTTTGGGAGTTAACCCACCAAAGGTGGTCTGGCTTTCAGGGCAGACTCAGAGCTCAGAGGGGAGCATCCCAAGCAAGGTCATTCAGAGTGAAGCCTCTTACCCAAGCCTTTTGTAAAGCGAGCTGTAAGTGGAATGATGCGTGTTGAGGACTGGGCAGCTGTTCTGGTTCCTTTTCAGCCTGTGCTCTGAATTTCCTTGCTTGGGTGGCTTGAGACAGAGCATTAATAATAGATTGCTGTGGTTAACACATGAAATGTTTGCTTCCGTTGGCATTAAGTGCACTCATTCTGCAGAGCTGCAGCCTGCTGTGCTCCTTTTGGGTTGGACCCCTCTAGCACCTACTGGGTGCCTGTCTGGAGAGCAAATCTGCTTGTTGCCCTAGCTCAGCCTTGGAGAAGATATCAGCTGAACTTTCTGTCCCAAAGACTGGGGATGTAAGGGGGAGCCCAGCCTATTTTCTGGGAATTGGGGAAACCATGCTTGTATTTCCAACCCTGCCCCTAACCTGCTTTGTGACCCTGAGCAAGTTGCTTACTGTCACCTTCACCCCCTCGTCCCTTGTCTTCTCTATTGGACTGTAAGCTCTTCAGGACAGAGACTTGGTCTCTTGCAGCCCTGCTGTAAAACATGTATCAATGGTGGGAATCTGCTCATCATATTTTTATCCTTTCCGTGCTGCCTATAGGACTTATGAGTTCTGTTTCCACTTGGGTCCCCGAGGTTCAGTAAAAGTTTGCAAGCCACTTTGCCTTAGTTTCTCCATAAAAAATATGATGAGAGAAACCAACTAGTTCAGCCTGACTGTGAAGGGCACAGCCAAGGGCAGGACTCTGGTTCTTCTCCCACTGCTCTGATCATTTTCTGCGATAATGTTTTGAGGCATTGGGATGAATGAAAATTTCACCCCTGCTCAAAGTCATAATAGTTTGGGGAGCAGTTTAATTTAGCTGCCAAATCAAGGAGCAGTCTTGATAGGACCTATCTTGTGCTAGAGAGACTAAGTGCTACTTGATCCATAGGGTAGGCTTATAGTTTCCTGTCTTCAAATAGTAAAGACAGTTACAAAAACTTAGAAATCAAGTGTCATCATAGCCCTATTTTGAGTTTGGACAATTGCTCTTCTCTGGTGCAGGCACCCAGAAATTGCTGTCGGGGAGGCATCAGTAGCTGTTAAGCACCGTGAGGAAATACTTCCTTGTCAACAGGCCATTGCGCTTGCCCACTGTAACTAGAGGGCAGAGCCAGAGGGCTGGGTTACAGCACCATTCCCCTCAAACGTGGTTGCAGTACTGTCACAGTTCATGGTCAGATGAAACCCTGACTGCATTCTGAAGCGTCTTGTGACTGTTTCTTGTGCTACAAACTGCAATCATGTCACAACACTATTGAGGGCATTTATGTTGTAACTCCGTTCCTGGATTTGGCTGTTGTCTATCCTATGGATGGGACCTATTGCTGCAAGAGCTGGAGCTACAAACCAAACTTGAATCTCTTGTGTTGTCCAATAGTTACCTCTTTACCACTGGTAGGGGCTGAGGGTTTTAGTATGAAATGCAGCAAAATCCTATTGCACTTTCCTAGATACTAACCATGTTTGGCCTTTTCTTCCCCTCCCTCTTGACTGTGTTTTCCTGGCAGTGCAGTAGAGGGTGCTGTCTGCACAGGTTATAGCTCTGCACTTTTTTTTTTTTTTTTTTTTTGAAGAAAGGATTTTTTGCTGCTTTCAAACAGCCCCTGTTATCTTTCCTCATAGGATGCAGCTGACCCCCCACTATCCAAGTCATCTGAGATTATTTTAATTTATCTGGCCCCATACCGATTAGGAAAGAAGTTATTTCCATGTATTTTGCAACACATTAATCAGACTTAATAGCTTTCAAATGGTTACGTAAGGCATAGCTAGAAATTGCACTCAGCACAGCTGTCATCTCAGCTATTCTGGTGAGACTAATGTAGCTGCTGCTTAAGGCCCAGGGCTCGTGATTGACGTGTGCCCCGTGTCGTATTCATATGTCCCAGTTAGCAATGTCCTGATCTGCATGTGGTGGCTGGTTTGTAGATACCAGCTCAGAAAAGCAGCTTCTCTCTCAAGAACTTGGGAGTTGCCCAGCTGGAACAAGCCCAGTGGCCCCTCCAGCCTGGAATCTGGTCTCAGGAGTGATTTCTGCTGAATGCTTTAGAGGCTGGTGATAAGCCTCTCCAGTGCACTGGGTACCAGATCACAGCAAAATGTGCGGCATTTCCTCTCTGCCCTCTAGGTGATGATAGCTGGGATGCATGTGGTTTGAATAATTCCTGTCAGTCACAGGTCCTCTTAAATGATTTTCCTCTTTAACTCTCTTCCTTAAATGAACGATCTGGGACCCTGGAGGTGGGATCTCCTGCCTGCTTTTATGCTATTTTTAAACAAAGGAGCCTGCATCCCTGGCCGCAGAAGACTCATTTTACTGTGCAGCCTTCATTCTAGCCTTCCTTCATCCTCTCTGCCATGTGTGGTCCTGTCTTCTGTTTGTTACTGGCAGTTGTGCACTGCCTGGCATCCAGCCAGCAAGGCAGATTGTCTGGTGCAGAAACACATGGCTTTTTCTTCTCCTGGGACCCTGGGCCCCTTTGGATGGAGTCCTATGAACTCTTCAGTTATCTTTCTCTTCCAACACACATGCACATGTGTGCCCTCTCTCCCCCCTCCCAGAGATGGGCCCATAAGAGGCAATCTTTGTGCCATTGCTCTTCATTCGGTTTGAGGCTTCTCTCTTTTCATAAGGATCAAAGTACTAAACAGATGCAGGCTGATTTCATTCTGTGGTGTGTCTCCCCATTGGGGAGAGTCATTTTGCCATGGAGCTACCTTGGCCACCACAAGCTGTGTTAATAAGGCGTGAAATGAAAGCCAGCTTGCAAGGTTCCCAGTGTTCAGCACTTCCCGAGCTCCCCCGGGAGCAGCAGTGGTGACAAAAGGCAGACAGCTTTGCTGTGTTGCCTCCCTTTTCTATCCAGTGCATTTGCATTTCTTGCCATTCACCTTTCTTCTGCAGGAGGTGAAGCTGACCTAAGTGCCTGCAGATCGTGGACTTGTCAGTGGATATCTGATAGCTTTGAGATGGACAGTGCAGACACAGCTCAGCTTCCTGCCCCAGGAGACTCGCTCCTCCTTCTTATTGCCTTGAGAGGACTCTCATGGCACATCCCTGAGCCATGAGCACTCCTGTTTTCATTGTAAATAAGGCTACAGTATGTTGCGAAGTGTTTGTTTCCTCTGGCTGCAAGTGGTGTTGAGCAGGGTACCAGCTTGGTTGGGAAGCAGATACCAAAGGAGGCTTTTTAAAGCTTTCTGTTTTTCTGTTGACTACTCTTTCTGCAGCTGCTCAAGCTGTTGCATTTTTTTCTCCCTGAGCTGGATACCAGCCTTGTCCATCATTCTACATTATCATTCCCATGCCTTCTAGTCCTCTCCAAGCCCACAAGAAGACTCATTATTATAGTATTTTAGCACAGACTACTTGGGATGCTGCTAATATGCTTGTCCCCTTAAATGGAGAATCAAGCTCTATCCATCATGCTCTTGTAAAGTGAACTTTGCACTTCCCTATCTCATAGGATGTGTTGGGAGGATAAATACAGTAGAGGGTATGAGGAGTTCAGGTATTCAGGTAATGGGGGCTGTAGTGGTATGTAGTTGACTGACTGTTGTTTCAGATACCTGTATCTGTCATTCAGAAGCCTGTCTGTCAGTCCCATGGCATGTGGAGGGGGGAAAAATCTAAACTCTCTCCCACACTCTCCACAAAAAAATGCTTTTAAATATTTAATTGCTTGTTGCCGTGGTGTCAGAGCATCCTTCCAGCCAGCACAAGTGGAGGGCCTTACTTATTCTCCTCATCAGCATGTTTGCAGGAGGTGTTATTCCCATTGCTCAGAAAGAGCAATTGAGGCACAGAGAAATTATTTGTCCAAGGTGCTGCGTTGAGTCAGTGGCACTCTGGGCAGGAACCCAGGAGTCCTGAATTCCCTTCCAACTGCATTCCTAGTAGCATTAGCATCTATCTGACCAGGTTACTGGCTGCCAGAAGTTAGATACTTAAGCCTGTACTTGCTGTGCCTTTCTGCTTGGCCAAGACTGCATTTGTTGTTTGTGACGAGGAAGCAGGAGAGATTTAAGGGCTTGAGTTCTGTGATTGTTCCTGGTGTTAGAAAGGGGATTCATGCTGTCAGCATTTTGCATCGGGTGTAGGATCTAAGACGACCCACGTGTGG